ACTAATTATGATTTATTAGAGCCCAAATCTTAAAATTCTAAACCCTAAAAAATCTTGAGAAATTTCAAAAAATGCCACTTTTCAAGTGCCACTTTACAAAAATGCCACACTTTTGAAATTTTTACAAAAATGTCACTTTTTCAAAATTATTTTTTCTTTATATTATTTATGTTTGGGTTAATTATGTTCTATTAGAGTTTAGTTTTGAGTGTTTAGAGGGTTTTATGTGTCAAAAAAATTTTTAGGGTTTAGAATTTTAAGATATAGGTTTTATAAATCTATAATTAGTGACATTTTTGTAAATGGACACCCCTAAGTGGCATTCTTGCAAATGTGCACACAAAAAGTGGTATTTTTGTAATTGACCCAAAAAATTTTTGACCCCTAAAACTTCTTAAACCCTCAAAACTAAACCCTAATACAACATAGTTAACCCAAACATAAATGATATAATGAATAAATAATTTTAAAGTGGTATTTTTGTAAAGATTGTAATGAATAAATATAATGATCTAATTTTAAAGTGGTATTTTTGTAATGAATAAATATAATGATATAATGAAAAAGTGGTATTTTTGTAAAGATTATAAAAATGTGGCATTTTTGTAAAGTGGCACTGGAAAGTAGTATTTTTAAAAATTTCTCAATATTTTTCGTCTTTGATTTTTTTTTTTGCAATTTATGAAATATTAAAGAGAAACAATTGTTCAAATATAAATATGAAAATAATTCATCAATATTTTCAAAAATAGATATTTAAATAGTAAAATAATATTAAAAGTAAAAATGTTTATCAAATTTAAATAGGAATAAGAAAAACTTTTTAAAATATGTGATAAAATTTAATCGTAAACCAAATAATGAAAACATAAAAATTAATAAAATAAATGATATTCTTTCGATCAATAGTTTTGCATTAACATTCTTACTTTGATGTTAACGGATGATATAATTTTGTTCATCCAATCAAATATAGAATTATAAGAAATTAAATCACAAACATGCATATATGCGGGTCCTTAATCTAGTATTATAGATAGATTCGGTAATTACTCTCTTCAATGAAAAAAATTGGAGAAGATTTTTTGGATTTTTTTTGGAGAATATTGTTATATTTATTATTTGTATGGGTTTCTTGGTAATATAAATAGTATATTTAAATTATAAATGTGTGATTCTCACAAAAAGACAGGATGGCCGAGTGGTCGAAGAACATAAAAATAAAAATTTATAAAAAAATTTGTCAAAAAATACTCATTGTATAAGTTTACCTTGATTAGCCAACAATTTTTATAAAAACAGTTTTGAGCTATGTGATATAATTTGGTCGGTTGAAAGTAATAGATAAATTTGGTCCGCACAAGTGATTATTCCATTGAAGTGTTACCTTGAATCCTTTGATTAGGTGAGGCAGAGAATGCAAATGGCCGAATGAATTTTGTTAAATCTAGAAAGATGCTCATCTGATGAAAATTTGTTAGATGGGGAATATAATATTGTAATTGTAATTACCCAATACTCAATATTTCTCATAAACATTTGGCTATATAAACAATATCTATTGAGAGAAAATCATAATTTTATAAAGCTCGATCATAATAAATACAAGTAGGAAGAAGCGTAGAGAAATGTCACTGAAACGAGTTTGTGAAATGGAGTTTCGTTATAATATTCCACCAGAGCCATTATGGGGATGTTTACTAGACACTATGACTCGTCTGTCTAATATGACCCCTTCAGGTATATTATAGTACAATATAGTTAAATTCTTTACAATACACTCTCATCTTATCTATGGATGATATTTGATGTTTGCAGATATTGTACCTACTTTGATTGAAAGCAATCCGCCTATGCGCAATCCACAACTACTATTACAACACATGACTATTGTGTCAATGTATCCGGAGGGGAAACTTCTGAAGCAACGGTTTACAATATCTGTGTTTCTTGAAGGCTATAAGTTGATTAATGCAACCACAAGAGTTAGGATGCGAAGCGGTAACCCACCTTCTTCCATCGTGGACTGCAGCGTCGAGTATGAGAAGAGTGGTCCTGAATTCAAAGATCTTGAAGTAGTCGAAATCATGAAGAAGCATCTCAATGATATCGCATATCATACTGGTTATTGGGAAGCGCACATAAAGCCAAGCGGGAAGTAAAATCGATCTAATGTAAGAAGAATATATTTAGATAACAAGAGTCATTAATTTACGCATGTGTGATTTTCAACGCTACAACTAAATGCAGACATTTACAATTTGACAAAAAAATTCTCTATAACAAACCGAGAGATAGCAATTGAAATTGCTATTTGCAAACAAAAGACATGAGTTTTGTTATCATCATCACCATATATAAAACTGTTTTGACAATTCAGGATAACCTTTTGTAGGATAAATTTTCACAATAGCCTTGCTGGGACCCTTAATTCATTATCTACACGAAATAAGACAAAGAAACTAAGAAAGACACATACTTTGAAGTTTGATCCTTTTGACTCTATAATCAATTAAATGTTGGAATATATTGCTAGAAAACGTTCTCATTCACAATCGTCAACGGTACTTAAATTTGTTTTACAAAATAACCCATTAATAGTTAGGTTTTGCAGATGATCATTGGT